ATAAGACTTGTTTATTTACAAAACAATAGCCTATACAATTTACTTAGGAATCTCCAAAGCCCTGACCATGATCAACATATTGACACCTTCTTGTTAACGTAAATAATGATTTTGTTAAGCTCATACACATAGAGAATAATGAAGTTTTTATTAGTTGTTTACATAAATGAAATTATAAAAATAAAAGTCAAGCAGGTCAAGCAGAAATGAACTCAATTTTGGACAAGATCAAGTCTAACAAACAATGTTACATTACAATAATATGTGATGAAATAAAAATATTTAGAACTAACAGACAAACAATTAAATGAAATATACATAACACATGTAAGCTATTGTACTACACTCGGCTTTGTTGTCTGTACAGACAGAGTATATGTATGTACACACTTAATGAATGTCAACTGTTCTTTCCTCCTATGTCTTTCGGAATCGGTTTCATTGCATCTACCTCCACGGAAGTTGATAAGAGATCTAAACTGGTGCAAACATATATATTAATTACCTATTCTTTGTTAAGTTTTGTGTTTTGCACATTATAAATAGTGTTTTACTTGGAATCATGAAACTTTCTGAGGTTACGAATCTGGATGAGCAAGTACTACAAACTCATCGCAAGCATGGGTCTTACCATTTACTGACTTGAATGATTAGTTTTGTAGATTTTGTTATATATTATATCCAAATTGAATGTATGTATGTATGTATGTATGTATGTATGTATGTATGTATGTATGTATGTATGTATGTATGTATGTATGTATGTATGTATGTATGTATGTATGTGTGTGTGTGTGTGTGTGTGTGTGTGTGTGTGTGTGTGTGTATGTATGTATGTATGTATGTATGTATGTATGTATGTATGTATGTATGTATGTATGTATGTATGTATGTATGTATGTATGTATGTATGGATGGATGGATGGATGGATGGATGGATGGATGGATGGATGGATAGATAATACTTGGTGAGAAATGAATCTTAAAGAGTTCTATTCTCTCATGACAAAAATAGGTCACTATTATCAATAATTCTTGCTTCACTGATGCGGTTTCAGTCACTAGCACCATATCTCCCAGAAATATCATGCTTGCTAATTGTCTGCACTCTTTTCAGTGCCATAGACTTGTAAGAAAATGAGGTCATTGTGACCTACATTTGCCACTGTTCTGGTTTATTTTTTTTTTTGTATTTAGCTCATAACCACATTGGTGTTTTATCTAGTATATAATGCTGCAATACCAAATAACAGTGAACCAAATAACACGAAAAATGCAAAAACCAGCAATTTTATTTTATTTCCATATAATACAAACTGAGAACTGAATAGGAACGTACAGTATTGTAAGTTAAATCCCAAATAGATCTACAAGGTTTTTCACAGGTCAAAATGTTAAGTGTCCCAAATTACTTCCATTATTGTTAGGAATAAATTCCAATCGCGAATGTGTTGATGTGCCAATAGTTTTAAATATACTGACGTGCTTATAGTCTTGCTGTCTGGCGATGATATATTCCAAAATTTCCTTAATTATATCGCTACAATCCCAAAATATTGTTAAGGTGGAAAAGACAATAGACACTTTGTAATTCCAATGAATGATTTTAAATAAATCCTTTTTAGTTATTAACTAAACACAACTAAACGACTGTACTAATAGACAGACGTTAAAATAGGAATGAAGAATTTTTTATGTAAAAAGCAAACTGTCACCTGACTTACGACACAGTGAAAGCTTCCATCAAATTCGTAAACATGGTCAGGTCTCTTTACTTAATGTTTACAAATTGCCATTATCAAGGGAAAAAACAATGTCCTGAACTCAAAGCCAAGTATATTTATTTACAAATATCATTAGAAAATATGAATCATCAAATATGGACAACAATTACATATGTAATATATTGTTAAAATATGACCGTTTGAATCTACAATCATGGAGAAAAGTTCAAAAACAGTATTTTGCATTATATCATTGTGATACATCAAGACTGTTGACACATCAGCACATTCAACGGTGGATGCATGAAACAGCGGGAGAATGCATCTGGATAAATATTACACTTTCATGTTAAAAAGAGGCTACTTGGATCCATGTTTCACATTTCACATTTTTGGCTCAATTTTACATTTACTGGTATTTTTATGCTCCTTAAACGTGGTGTATACATCAATTCACACTTGACTGGCATAGTTGTTACATTTAAATGATGATCACGTATATGTTGGTATGCTCTGTCTTACACAAGAACACGTATATTGTGACATGTTCTGTGCATACTGTACAATATAGGATCATGCATATTTTGGCATACTCTGTGCATACTGTCCTATCTAAGATCACGTATATTTTGGCATGCTCTCTGCATACTGTACTGTATAAGATTACGTATATTTTGGTATGCTCCGTGAATACTCTACTATATAAGATCACGTATATTTTGGCATGTTCTGTGCATACTGTACTATATAAGATCACTAAATTTAGGGATACATCTTTATGAGAACAACTCACTCGTTTAAAAAGTCGGTCACTATAAATCATATTTTATGCTTCACTGACTTGGGTTCATTTTTGTGTTTGATGGCCATTTCTCTGGATTTCTCACGATGTTTAATAGTACTCTTACATTAAATGATATGTATTGTGGCCTATATTTCATGTCTTGCTGGCTTTGTATTTAGGTCATGATGACATACGTTTATGGAATTTTCTATTTCCTACCCAGAATCATTTTGAGCGGGTAATTGTTGTGTTTATGATCATATAGCTTTTTCCATGCTAGACCTGAATGCATCCTACCATATTCAGAAGAATTTTTTGTGATGAAAGCAGTTGAATGTAGAGTAAATATGTTTTTTTAGTGGTAAATTTTCATTCTATGGCTTTTGAGGGTATCTTGTGATGTGGCATCCTCAGTATATCAACTGGATAATATGGGTGATTATAAAAATTAGGTGACTGTATTGTATGCATCATACCTTTATTCAAGGCGTCAGTTGTAGTGGCTAATCCATTTAATTGATGATGCATTACCTACGTACTGTCCCTCCAAGATTACTCAAACACTTGTGGCGACATTTCTAAGAGCTGATAATAACTATTAATCAGACTTTAAGAATAATTATTTAGAATAATTAATACAAGAACATGAACCTGCCGTATTACATCTACTTTGAAATGATAGAAAATTATGCAGGTATGTAAGTGGATTCAAGGTTGGGTGATTTTTTTAGACGATTATTTCAAAATAAGTTTAATTATTTTTGAACAATATTTACATTGAAGCTTGAAAATTTAAGAATAAGTTAAGTTATATGCATAATGCTAACATGTACGTTAGATAATTTTTTATTCGTACTCCGGAGATTCGAACCCAGGTCTGCAGGTAAACAGCACCTATCACCTTGAATGCACACAAGATCTCACATTTCCTCACGACTAAACTCCGTAGAGTACGAATTAAAAATTCTCTAACCTGTATGATATTATTATTTGTATTAAAAAAATAATTCTGCCTACTATTATAAACATTCTTCTATAGAATCCAGTGATAGCATTTTTTGTTCTGTATGATGTATATTTATTATTATTTTAATAATTAATTCAATATACCTTGATTTCTTTCATAGGAATCCGGAATATATGTGTAGATAACTGAGAATTAATTACTAGGTCGTCATGCGAGTTGTCTGCTACACACGAGCGCATATAACACTGTTGAGTAGCATCATTTTGGGGATATGTGCTTAGTCTTATAACAATCTTGGTACACGTGATAAAATAATTACTGTGAGAGAATCCCCATGTCTGTACCTTTTTTGGATACAAACCCATTGGAGTCTTGACTATGTATAATTACACAAACTTTGCATGTTCCAATAGTAACGTTTTATCCAATTTCTTATTGGTTCTTCAAAATTGAAAACATTGATAACTTTGTCAATAAATGGCCACGTTTCTTGTAAAAGTCGGTTAAATGGAGCAGTGGAGCTATTTGTGCTTTTTCGTGTAATGTAAGTTTTGTTATGTAAGTTCCGTATGATATTTCCAAAGTATTATCTCCCTTTAGAAAACTTGTTTGATCCTCATTTTCGCGGGGTGGGAGAGAGGCGTAAACCGGCTTGCAGTGTGCGCATGTCAGCTTTGTATAATACTGAAACGTATCTTCAGATTTCAATACCCTAGTCAGATGAATCCCGTTTTGGATGTACATGTGTCTGTGTGTGATTTGGATGCACATGGGTATGTGTGTGATTTGGATGTATCTGTGTATGTGTATGATTTGGATGTACATGTGTCTGTGTGTATTTGGATGCACATGGGTATGTGTGTGATTGGATGTATCTGTGTCTGTGTGTGATTTGGATGCACATGGGTATGTGTGTGATTTGGATGTATCTGTGTATGTGTATGATTTGGATGTACATGTGTCTGTGTGTATTTGGATGCACATGGGTATGTGTGTGATTGGATGTATCTGTGTCTGTGTGTGATTTGGATGCACATGGGTATGTGTGTGATTTGGATGCACATGGGTATGTGTGTGATTGGATGTATCTGTGTCTGTGTGTGATTTGGATTATACATGGATCTGTGTGTGATTTGGATGTACATTGGTCTGTGTGTGATTTGGATATGGGTCTGCGTGATTTGGATGTATATGGGTCGTTGTGTGATTTGGATGTATATGGGTCTGTGTATGATTTGGATGTATATGTGTCTGTGTGTGATTTGGATGTACATATATCTGTGTGTGATTTGGATGTACATGTGTCTGTGTGTGATTTAGATTTTTATCAGTTTTAACAATTTTTCAGTCATATCGCTACGTTGTCTGCAGTGTGGCAGTTTATAGCGATGTCTAGCACAGGGGCATCATGCCACAGACCTGTAGCATGAGGTTACACCCAGTCACATTATCCTGACACTAGGCCAACCAGTCCTAACACTAACCTCTTAATGCTAAGCGCCGAGTTCGTACCCTTTGTATAATATGACTCATTCGGGGTTGGAACCGGCGACCTCCCGCTTCCGAGGCGGACGCTCTGACCACTAGGCCACCGGAGCGGTCAGATTCCATTTTGGTATACACATAATTACAGCTTCTTCACATCTTTCGGTACATACATTTTCAATAATTATAAATAAATTTCTGACCCACGAAAAGGTCCAGTCTCCCTTGTTTACCGAATTACTTTTCCTCCGAGTATATATTAATTCCTATAAGATATTCTGTATTTATATCTGCTGAAGTTTCCAATGGTTATCAATGGTTATATCCATGACAAACGTATCCTTCACTCCACAGATATACATACTTCTGACAGAGCAACATATGTAAAGATAATTTGTTTGTATTTATAACATGTACAGTTGAGGGAATGTTGGCATACATCTATGAAACTGTTTTTACATATTGCATTTGTGGAAATTGCAGCTGATCTAAGCAAAGTGGATCTAAATGGCTGCTCGCATCTGCTCGAAAAATCAGCGTGAACTAATCCAATGCACACAGAATCTATAAGTCATTAAAATAGGGGAAACTAATTTTGCCGGGGCAGGTAATACCCGTTCCTGAAAGAGCATTTAATCAATTACAAAATCCTTAAAAAAAAGTTATCGGCTCATTATTTTTTATAACTTACCTTTGATGTCCAAGGAATTGAACTGATCAAGCGGTGGGGGTGAAGGATTTTGGTGGGGATGGAGGTGAGAGAGGTGGTTAAAGTATCAACATCAGAATTAAGGACAAGATATACAGTCAGTGAGTCAAATTACAACAACAATGATAAATGAAGGGAATTAAAAGTTATTGCAAGTGTTGTTTCAAATGCTCCGGATAATCAGTGAAGAAAACCTTTGAAGATCATTTTATTCACAAATTTAACCCTATGTAAAATATCAAAGTGCAAACGTTGTACCTGTACTATGTTTTATTCCATGGAAGGTGAAGTTATAAGTTTAATAATTTAGCTACAACCCTTTGTAGAGTTTGAACTAGAAAAAAAAGCATCCATATCCCCAGATAACCCGTACGAAATTTCCTGTTTGTTAAGTGGGGACGTATGCACACTGTGTTATCTTAAACCGTATCTACATTGTATTATCTTAAACCGTATCCAGACCGTATAATCGTAAACCGTAACCACATTGTATTATCTAAAACCGTATCCACATCGTGTTATCGTAAACTGTATCCACACCGTATTATCTTAAACCGTGTCCACATTTTATCTTAAATTGTATCCACACCGTATTATCGTAAACCGTAACCACAAAGTTTTATCTTAAACCTTTTCCACACTGTATTATCTTAAACCGTATCTACATTGTATTATCTTAAACAGTATCCACATTGTATTATCGTAAACTGTATCCACACCGTATTATCTTAAAAGGTATCCATACCGTATTATATTAAACCGTAACTACACCGTATTATCTTAAGCCGTATCCACAGTGTATTATCTTAAACCGTATCCACACCGTATCATCTTAAACCGTATCCACACCGTATCATCTTAAACCGTAACAAAACAGTATTATCTTCTGCTTGTAAGACCAGCTAAAGCTTATTCTTGAGATTGCCTCTGTTTGAAAGAAGTTTCCCGAATTATTGTCTGTATTTGTTTTATGTTAATTATTGATTTTTGTTTATTTTATGTCAGAAAAGGCATCATAATAACACCTTTTTGAAAAGATATAACGTTTCAGAAACCGTCTTGGTAGAATAATGATGAAATTCTTTACTTAAGATAAATATATAAACCATAACGAGAATTGTGATAAACTGTTGTTTTAAATATGCCAGCTATGCTGTTGTATTTTTTTGTTGTCTCATCAGCTAAATATCTTATGAGCCACAAAATATGATTTCTTTTATACTCGACACCTTATACAGGACTACGTATATCATATAACATATATTGCATTTCAGCTATTGTGTTGTGCATGAGGTGGGAGAGTCAAGACGATGTTGTATGTTTAATAATGAGATGGACGTGGAGTTTCCAGTAAAATCACGTGACCATATTTAGGTGGTAACAGTTATAGATTTCACAAAGAAAAATCCCGGTGAATTACCAGTACTAAAACTCCATTAAAAAGCCAAATATGGGGTCTCATCCTTGACGTACATTATCTTGCAATTCCATCAGATTGTAGATTTGGCATTCAAACTGGAAGTGAATTCATCTATCGAATGCTATCCCAACACTTTACCCTTAAAACGTGAAAAGTTGTTTCACTGCCTTGAACTTTAGTAATTTATAACTGTATGAACCGAGCGATACAAAGTCACAAACCAATATCACACATTTCCTGAAACAAGAGAATTTGAATGATTCATGAATGGCTGAGAGGCTAGTCGTTAATTCCAGTTTCTGATTCGTCGACACATGGCACCGCCATAAAACAACGATTATATTACCGTTAGAATATTCTCGGCGTGTAAGACCTCATTGTCATAGTCTGTTATAGATTTTATATTAAAAACCTATGGATTCCATATCTTGGTTGCTACAGATGGCATACAAAAGACAGCGATTTCTTTGGGAACAATGTTTTCTGGAACATACCTAAAACATATTTGTTATTGATTTTGTCTTAAAAAGTTTGCTACGAACTTGGCAAAGCGAATACCAGATTTGTTCCATGCAAATCCAGACTTAACTCTTGTATACATAGAGTGGATTAGTGATATAGAAGTTAAATACTCTTGTATGGATGTAAAATTGCACTCTAGTAAATTAGACCCACTTATCCCTCCTCCTTCCAAATAACACACAAGGTTTCCACGAAATAGCGCCACTTGCTGATAATCTGCAGCCCTGCATGTGATTGTATTCCATTTCAGGTCACATTCATTCACCTCTTTTCCTCAAGTCCTTCTCCATGTCTCTTTGGACCGACCACTCTTTCGTCTCGCGTCCAGTAAAGGGCTATCAAATTCTGCTCATCCAGTGAAATTCGGCACATATCCACAGCTTGATGATGATTCCAAGCTGTTTACGCTGCTGCATACATCTTGGCATACCAAAGGTTTGATTTGCTTTACTATTTCTGACGCCCCCCCTCTCCTCTTTCTCTCTCGACACATTCCTTAACAGGTATGTGAATTCGTCAACTTCCTTTTTTGGCTCTCTATTCACAGTGGTAGGATCGTCGGTCTTATGGTTTTTACTTTATTAATATGGTTTTCTTGCTGTTTACTTTCAGTTCTCTCTGTATGGCTCTCTATCTTTCAATTTATCTGTATTTTATTGCATGACTATGTGTCAACTTGAAAACTGACCAAAGTAACAGCGCACTCTGTCTTTCGGGGATAAAGTGAGGGTCCATCTAATTCTTTCTAGGTGCCCAGAGAAATCTTATGCATTAGAAAGACGATGGCAAGGGTGACGAGAAAAATCGCGGGGATAAAAACTTGTTTCACTCCTGTGTTGATCTCGATGTACAATGTGGAATGTATTAGGTGCATTTAATTTGCATTGTTGGTTATATTCTATTCATTACATACTATGGAGAATTGACTTTTAGCCTAGACCTTGTAAAAAATAAATTTCATTTTCTACCTGATCTGAATTTTTTATTTTGGTTTTGTAACCAAAATGTTTAACTCAATCTGAGACTAGAACATGGAAAATTCCCAATGAAGTACCTGGTCTACCTGTTGTTTACCACCTTCTGTATTATACTTTTAGATAAAGACCTTCTAATTATAACTTAGATTTTATCTTGTAAGCATTTAGAAACATACAGAATGAAATTTTCCGTTAGGCAATAGTAATTGTTTATTTTATAAATCTTAATTGTACCTGGGGTCAATCAGAGGAGTGTATCATTTTGTTCTTCTTGAAATTATTCATTCGTAGTTAGGATCTGATCAGTTTTATAATTGTTGTGTCGATTATTTAATTTGAGCTGTAATTTATTTATTCAAATTATTTAATGGAAGTCATTCTCCTTTGGAAATACAAAGTGCTCACAATAGCATTATTGGTAATAGATATTTGAATATATAGTGCAATTTGAAATAAGGATATGTTCTTGAATTGTATTATTGTGATACAACAAAAATCGGATGGCACATCACTACCACCCAGGCCATTATAGGCATGTCAACACTTCCAAGGTTGGATTATTTTTTAAATACCACTAAAGTTTATTGCGAACTTTACTCATCAAGCTTGCGTTAGAAATTCTAGGATTATGTGGCATTTCGTTCAGATTCCATATGTAATTTTTATATTTCACTTTATATTAAGTGGAAATAAATTATTTGTTGAATTTTATAAAGCTAGCTGCTTCTCACTCTTTTCCATTATTTATTGTAAGACCATAAAATTGTAAATAAAAAAATAGTTGTCACAAATGATTTTAAAGTGCAAGTCATGGGGCAGAAGTGTGACAATGGTTAGAATCTTCGATGAGATGCTATCAAACCAGAATATTTTTCAGAGCGAGTCACTGTCAAAAGCCTCTCTAATGTTCTGTGATCTTGATGTAGACAGCTATTGCTATGTTCCATTCATTTATGTGCTTCGTTATTGTATGAAAAAAATGGTCAATGCAGGGTTTTCCTTTCCTGAAATCAGCTTGGGGCTGTATCATTGTTAATTGCATTTTTTCCTATTTATTACCAAAAATAATGAAAGGCAATTCGCCACAATAAAACTGGACGGTGAATTGATCATGGATATGATTGTATGAGTGTTTATACGCAATACATGATGTTAGAATGCATGCGAAAGGCATCGTTTGCATAATGTGTTCTGCATAATCTGGATATTTGATAGACGTGTGAAGAATATGATTTTGAACTGCGACATCTTCAAGTTAAAGGTATTTATAACATTAATGAAAGCTTTTAGGTGTGCGTGATTTGGATATTTAATGTAGCTTTAAAAAAAATTTCTGTCATATCATTACGATATCTGCAGTGTGGCAGGTTATAGTGATGTTTAACATTGGGGCCGCAGGCATGTAACATTATGTCCCACCCAGTCACATTATTCTGACACCAGGCGGACCAGTCCTAACACTAACCTCTTAGCAATGAGCACCTAGCGA